TCTGGCTACCAGGATGCTCTTTTTGGCTTGCAAGGATTATACACTTTTCTATGAAGTTTGACTCACAAACTGTTTAAAATCTCTTTCCTATTAGGATTAAGGTTTTTAAGCATTCCATATGCTTTTCAGATGCTTAAAATATTATCTTTTTATGGTGTCTTTCGTAGTTTAAAAACTATGTTGCCCCAAAATATTCTTTCATTCTGATTTCGCTGCTTGTTCTGCAATCGTAGATACTCGGTGTTTTTTTTTGTGTTCTGGGTTGGCTCAAGCCCTGACTTTTACCAATTATTGCCAGTGCCGGGGCCAGCCAGCGAATTAGCCTTTGTTGGGCAACCAATCAACTGGCACTGGCTCCAGCTTTGGCTTTGGCTGTGGATGGTATTTTTCTGTTCGCTTCCCCCTTTGGATGCCGCTGGCTTTTCATTACTTTTCTATCAACGTACTTAGGCCATTGTTGTGCAGTTATTTAGCACAATCAACACCCGATGCCGCTGATAGTACCTCAGGCCCCCACCTTCTGTGTCCTTAGTCTTTGTTTTAGCCTTGCTGGGTATAAGGAATCTTCCAACCCCGGGGTTGTTCCCAGAACTGAGGGTCCGAGAGGGAGCTTAGTAAATTTTATCAATGGCAAACATTTCTTCGGGAGTCTCCTCCGCCTCAGCTCCTCCACATCCTGATGGGTGTTCACCTGAAGGCAAGATCCTTTGTTCATTTACGTTTCAGTTGAGTTGCACACAAAATTAATGGAAATTGCTCTCCACAAGGTACAAGGCAATCCAAGAGGCTGCCTGGGAAGGAGAGACTTTCGGAGGACCAGAGACAAGGCTGTGGGTATTAAAAAATTAACAAAAAGCCAGGCTGGCAAGTGGCAAACTAGTACTAGCCCTACCACTGCTTGTCCCTGTAATTGTTGCATGTCCTGGTCGAGGCCCAGCCACCTGCATTCAATTGGAATTATCTGTGAATGGGTCCAGTGCTCAGGATTCGAGACGATGGAGCTGAGCCGAGCTGGGCGCACACTGATTGCTCAGGGATCTTGTGGGCTCTGGGACAAGTTGTAAAGCGCTTAAGCTAAGCCAGAAATGTGGGGAAATCGTGTGTGGGAAGAATTACAGGCTGTTTGGTTCGATTTAAAATTACTAGTGCCGTTGGAATGCATTTATTTGGTGATGAGCTGCGATTACTCCCTCAAAATGTGTCCACATAATGGCAATTACCAGTTCGTCTTTTATCCGGTCCATTATAGCCTGTTTGTCTTGGGTCTTTCCTCAGTTTTCACGCTACTTGATTAGTTTTAAATGAGTTTTGCTGACGGCGCTTCTAACTCGCTCCGCTTCACCCTTTGGCCCTTGAACTCCTGCCGGGACTGCGGCCCTGATTGATATTTACGGGCTCCGGTTGATTGAAGTGTAATCAGCAGGCAGTCAGTCAGCGAGTCACTCACTCAGTCAGTCAATCAAAGGAAGCTGCGGGCCATGTATTAGCAGCAGAATGAAATGTAAGTGAGCAAATCGTAATTAAAATTGCGCCCATCAGCGCCGAGAAAAACAAAACAGCTCAGAGCGGAACAGCTCAGTGCGGAGCAGTGCGATGTTGGAGCAATAACAAAAACAAACGAGGCAGCAAATTACGCTCGAGGACACAAACAATATGCATTAGAGCTGAACAAGATGAAGAAGCAAAGACAGCGGCTCACCCACCCGAGGGGAGCTCTGATGGAGTGGCAAGGGTTGGGTCAAAGCACTCGACTCTCGACTGTCGACTGTCGGATGGTGGCAATGACGGTTGACAGAGACGAGACGCTAATGAAAATGCATAAGCAGATGCAGTCGAGGGAAAACATTCGTTGGAAATGGGAAATGCCAGTAAAAGCGTAGAAGCGCCCCTTCCCAATTATGATTTCGCTAACTTGGTACATTTCTATTAATTATTGCCATTCTTTTTTCAAAAGGTATGGTTACAGTAAAAAAATAAATATATATGTATGTACATTGGTTGTTGCAGATACGTTTCCTTTTATAAAATATTAGTCTTTTGACCTAATCTTTAAATAAATAATCCATTAAATAAATATCCATTTAAAATTTTCGATAATTCTACGATCGCTTTATCGATCAACAAATAACTTTATCGGCTTATATCCATGCACAGTGTTGCCAGAGTGTTTGAATAACGGCGCAGAACGTTTACCAACACCTTTTGTCCTTCATTTTAAATTTTCTTTTTCCGTTTTCATTACTCTTCCTCATTAAAGTCGCCATTAATAAATCATTTGATATTATTATTTCGACCAAGGCATACAAAAAGAAAGCAAGAAACATTGAGAAATAATATCCGTAAGTGTTGCTTTAAAATTTAAACTAAGAAATACATTTTTAATTATTTTTAATTAGTGAAAAACTCCAAACTGTAAAACGGAGACTGCAGTGCTGGGAGAACGGGTGTCAAAAAGAGCGACAGGAAAAGAGGGCTACAATAAATAAAGGACAAATGAGGATAATGGCGGCGCATTGAGAATGCGACTGCAAACACAAATGCTAAAATGGACAGCACAAAGGATGAAAGCGGCCCACTCATAAATATGGCAGCAGGGCCAGGCAAGAGGCGTGGCGCACAAAAGGGGGAATATGCACTCCACTCCACTCCAGTCGCTTCTGTGCGAGTACGTGTGTGTGTGTGGTCTGGCAGTCAGTCACTTTGTCCCTTTTGTCAAGCCACTGTCCCTTTCTGGCCCCTCCGGGTCCTTCTGGCTGGCACTCGTATCTCCGATCCGGATTCTCAGTCTCCGTCCGGGCGTAAATCAAAGTGAAAAGCGTGCTAATTGCATTAAAAGCATATAAACAAAATGCGATGCAAGTGGCTGTGATAAATATAAAAAGCAACAGCCCAACCCCGAAAGGCCTCTGACTCTGCACTGTACGAGTGAATGTCACTGTATGAGCAGCCCCCTCCACTCGGTATCTGCCCTCGTCCTTTCTGCTCGTCCTTTGTGCATGCGATGCAAGCGCTGTGAAATTAAGCAAATAAGCACAAGCAAAAAGCAAAATGGGTTCAACGGAAAAAGGACGGGAAAAAACCCATGTAACTTTGCAGAGCCAACAGAAACCCTTATGACCAGATTTTGCCAACTTTTAATTGCTGCCAAGGCTTTAAAGGGCAGCAGAAAAGGGAAACTCTTGTATTAGTAGTCGATCCCCCTGTGAGCCGGAATGAACCTTCAAAGTTTCCAGTTAGTAAACGACTAATTCCCAGTCATAAATATTATCCGAATCCTTGGAACTTATCAAAGCGAATATTCCTCATTTCTTGAGCCGGCTTGGAGTACCCGGCGAGTCATTAACCAGCCATAAGGAAGGCAGTCTGGAGCTGCTCACGTTTATGGCCACCGATAGCGATGTTCTTGGCTGGCTTTAACTGCATCTACTCAGGCATGGCCGTCTGAGCGGGCTCTGGCTCTGATTCCCGGTCCTTTATGGCCCCCAATCACGACTCCAGGAGCTCCTCCTCAGGGGCTTCCACCGCATGCGTAGCAAAAATTCAATCGTACAATGTGTTGATATATGACACGTAATCAAATGTTTAAGTGCATGGCACACGCATCGCCGAGTCGGAGGAGGAGTGCGGGGTCGTCCGCCATCAAAATATGAACAGAATCTATAGGAGAGCAGGGGCCGGGGCCAGGGGCACACACACAACAAATCCGACAAGTAAATATAATAACAATAAAATGAAGCAACGACATGAATGCCATCGCAGCGCCAAGGCGAGATATTATGACACTGCCGGCAATAATAAAAAAAAAAAGTATAACGGCGAAAAGAATGCCTGGCAAGGACAATTGTCCGGGCTGGCAACGTCTGTGCTCCTTTCTCCGTCCGCCATTCCGAGTTTCTGTTTCAGGTCAAGAGCGCTGGGAAAGAAAAGGATGACGGGGCGGTGCGGAAAAATACGAAAAAATATAAATACAAAATTAAGAGATCTGGTGTGAGGGAGGTGGTGTTTTATTTCTGGCCAAGAATTATCATTATATAATATAAGCATTATACTTACTATTTGAACCTCAAACGGTACATACCTTAACTTACCTTATTTAAAGGGTAAAACAAATCCTGAAAATATGTTGGCATTTTCTATCTTGGATCCTGGCCAACTGCAATCAGGCACTCTGGTATTCGCTTTTTGCATTCTTTATTGTTTTTTTAAGACTTAATAACATTAATTATCCGCATATTTTTTACAGACTGCTTGCTACACAGGGATTTTGGCTTACACCTTCTATACGTGGTTATAATCTGCTAATGGAGGTCTTAGTCTAGTAACATTTAACAATTTGAACGTCGTACAAGAAAGAGACAAAGTTATTCTTAGTGGAGATATGCCATAAGGTGTGCGTCATACATTTAGGGGCAGTGAAATCAATAAATTTCGGGATGCTGTGTTTTCTCATAAAAAGTGTATCCGATATGCCAGGTTTCTTCGATAAATAAGTTAAGCTAAGGTGGGTAGTGAAAAAAACGAACATTAATGATTATATACATAAATAACTTAGAATATTAACAAAATCGAATGGCTTTCAGAACCCTGAGAAAGAAAACATTTTAAATTACTAAATTAAAATAAGTCCCGTAGGACCGATTAAAATCAAGTTATTACACCTAACCGCCTTACTTTTCTACCAATATTCAACTAGTTTTAATAATTTTTGCCCTTAGCCTTTAAATACATTAAGAATCTTATTCTTATTTTATGTTCTTAAGAACTAGATCTTTGGCTATTAGATGGTTTTTCTTATTTTACACATTTAAGCTTAACTTTTTTGGGTTACTTAGCCAACAACTTTGAGCATTTCTTCCTAAGAACGACAAGCAAAAAAGCCCAAAGAGGAACAACGACATTTCAATGCTTCACTAATTATAATAATTATTTTATAATGAAAATACATCGCATATGGATATGTACACAATTTAGTTGATGTTGGCCGCCTACGCGGCGTATACTTGATGTGACCGAAAACTCCAAAAATATTTACAGTGGAACCTAATAATATTTGCCTCTTCTGATGAAAAGGCTGTTTGGGCCGTTCTTCTCGGTTAATTGTTATCTTCGCTGGGCAGCTGACTCGCAGCTTAATTGGCTGCTGTTTGTCTTTCTGATGCCGATGTTGCTGTTGCTGATGTGGCTGTTGCTGTTGGTATTGCCTCGCCTTTGACAGCAACTCCCAGCGACGGGAGGTCGAAAGCTACACAGAAATGCTATTAAGACTGGCAGTGCGTAGAGGGAAATGCGTGCAATTGATTTGGAAGCTAATATGCGTGACCAGGGTACAGATGAGCCCCAGATCGCCCCTGATGGCGCCATAGTTGATACTGCTGCACTGGAGGCCGCTGCTGCGGCGGCGGCTGCTGCTGCTGTCGCTGAAGAGGTGGCTGCTGCAGGACGTCGGCTCTTCTTCAGCTGTTTGTCTGGTTTGTGGGGCAAAAATAGAGGAGGAGCAGGTTAGATGGATGGACACAGCCGGGAGAAGTTTTATAAAAGCAACTGTTGCTAATGCTCTTTCGGAAGACATAAAAGAACTAAATAATTTCAAATTGATAATAGTTTTTTAATTAACTAGAAGACTTGGAGAACGTTTTAATTATCATTTTTAGTTACAAAAAAACAATAGAATATAAAATTCCTGGAAATAATACACCTTTTCCTTCAAGTGTATCTTAACTAACCAAAGCTAAACGATGATTGATGATCACTCACCTTCCAGCGTGGACTGAGCCTTGTCGAGCGACTGACGGGACTTGGACATGACCGTCTCCCGGGACTCCAGGACCGGAATCCTCTGGTGCTTGTCACTCTCCACACTCTCCTCGTTGCTCTGCCAGTACACGGAGGAGATTTTGGCGACACACTGCAATTCAGTCAGGATTATGGCCACGAAATGCACGTTGAATCAGAAAAGAGGGGCGGGAGGGAAGAAAACTTTCATCAAATCTGTGTACATTGATAAATTTGTGGGGCAGTGACAGGGGAGAAAGGATTGGCCATTCTCTTGACGGCGCAGTAAAAGTTTTATGCTTTCATTAACTCCTCCCGCACGGCAAGTAACCCAAAAATGACCGGCATACATCTCCGCAGGACACACACAAATATGTATGCACACTCACACCCACACAGCCCACACCCACGGTCACCACATATGCAAACGGACAGTGACCCACAAGGTGGCCGCCAATGCTCATCGAAACAGTGGAATGAAGGGATTCATATTCATCCTCCAGATGAATGAGATTTTCGGAAATAAAAACTTTTGACAATGATGGTTTTTGAATGGTTTCATGATTTTTACTTTTTTAAATATTCATATTAAATCCTGGCTATTTTTTAACTACATATCTATGATAGCCACTGTTCCCACCACTGGCCACGTCACACGTTACTCCGCAACCCCACCAAGCGTCCTCATGAAATTTTGTGGCTTGTTCAACATACATTTGCACTCGCAGTGGTGCGGGTGGCTGGGTGGTTGGGGGACTGGGCGGTTCATTGGTGGTCCTGTGGAACGAGTGGTCAGTGGAAAGGTGGGGGGCCGGCCAACTGGGTCCGAATGGATAATAATCAACATGAGCTGCCATGTTATGTTGTCGCAAATTGAATCAGAGCAACAGAACGCTGGCAAATATGTATGGGATGTGGATATTGGATGTATGACTGTATCAATTTTCATGACCTATCCGGGTGGTATAAGCTGATTATATACAGCGGTAATAAGGGGGCAAAGATCTCAAAAGGTAAAAAAATATGCACTTTCGAGAGAAACCAATGAAAGCAATTTTATTAAAAATATATTTCCATTCCCCATAGTTCAAAGTTCATTAGCTTACCTTTAACTTCATGTCGCCGTGCTTGAAATGTCATCCTCTCACCCGGAACTCCAGCCCCAACCGGGCCACCTCCAGGCCCTCCCGGCCCACCACCAGCGGTTCGTATGGCCGGAGCAGGGAGCGGTTGGCGTGCATCCCGTTTATCTGCCAGCTGAGGTGGCAGACCGGCTTCGAGGCCGCCGAGGTGCAATTGACGCGCACCATGTCGCCAATTTGGTAGCGGGGCTGTCCGCCCGTGATTTGTGGTCCGTGCTTCGGTGTCACTGCAATTGGCCGAGAGCACAAGAAGTGGCAATTAAGGGTTAGCTGAATGGCCAATACTGAATGGGGGTATAGGAACTAGGGTATAACTGAGGAGGTTTGAGGTCTTAAGCTATTGAATAAATTTAAACAAAATATGAACGTTAATTTTCGTATTTCCTTGCTAATTAAATTTATAAAAAAGTATTCAGCAAGTCCCATATATATTTCATAATAATGCTAAAAACAATAAATTCACTATTATTTTGGCAATTAAACCACAAAACAAGAAATATGTCGCTTCAGGATTGGATAATTGCATTGCCATTCCCAAATAAAGTTATTTTTCGGCCACAAAACAAGATTGATGGTTAATTCGGTTGGCCAGAGCTTAGCCAAAAATTGTATTCCACTGCCATTAGCTGGCTGGCAGGCCGTCAGTTGGGCAATTAAATCGATTCCGATCAACAACAAAATGAACAATGCAATCTATTTAAGCTTAAACAAAAATAGAATCATAATAAATATTGAAGAATGTCGGAGGCATCTCCTAGCTGCACAATTTTTGTGCGATGTTGCATTTGTTGTTTGCTTTTTGTGGGTCAGTGTGTGCTTGTCCAGCTGGGGGACGGAGACCTGGCTGTCTGCCAATTGGGTCAACAACTGGCAAAATCGAACAAAAACTAAAGCGAAACTTCAATTAAACATAATCGATAGTTTCGCACTGATGAAATGTTTTCCGAAAGCGAAGAAAAACTTTAACGTTTATGGCACAAAAGGATACTTCTCCAGCACTTTCGACTGCCACTTAATAATGGCAATAACTGGCCAAAAACTTGGCCATGGGAAAGGCTCTTCTGCCCATTTTTTTGTACAAAATTAAAGTCTTACTTTAATGACGTCGATGAAGCTGTTGACCTCCGTGTGGGAGGACTGTATTTCCTTTAATATTTGTCAAAATACTCAACATATTTTTCTCTTGTCGTTTGGGGCCTACACTCTCTATTATGGCCAGGCTTAGTACCAATTGGTAATAATTGTCGGGCATTTTTATTCTTGTCCGGCTTTGTTTGCCTCCAAGGGATCAACTTGGGCCCAGTTGCTTCTGCGTGGGCCGTCCTACGTCCTTTGTCCTTCGCCGGGACCAGACCAGAACCCGGACCTCGACCGAACAATGGATTCAATTGAGCAACTGAAACAAATATCTAAGTAAATCGGATGCCTAAATAAACTAACAATTTTTCACCTTAATGGCTCTGCCGCACAAAAGGGTCAAAGGGCCGCAATTGATTGAAAAGAAACGAGTTGCTAAACTTTGGCATAGACTCTGGTTTGGGGGATCTTCGACCCTGATGGCCCTGATACTATCCATTTATTTTTGGCCCTGAGAGAGGTCGTGGTAATCAATGGGAGCCGAAGGAATTCTCGAAAATGATGATAGGAGATAATCTAGCATCTATGTCTGGATGATATTTTTAGAAGCAATATTAAATATTGTTTATTTTAGACCATGATTTCAATTTCTAGTCGAAAACTTTTTCCGCACGTGCAAGCAGGCCGCGCATTTCTCGCAGGGATTACGTTGAACCAATTTTCCCAGCCGGATGCACCCATCATATGCAACTGCGCCGGTTGACATTACTTTCCGCCCATTTCCCGGCCATTTCCTCCCACTCTCCACCTCCTATTGCCATTTTCAATTTCCGCGCATACACTGCAATTATCGCTTTGTCGTTCAAAGCCGTCTAATCTAAGGAACTGGGTCGAACCCATTTGCTGCTCATCGGTTAGACCGGCCCCTGTAATTGCATTCAATTATGCCTGCCACCGGGGCAGGGAGGTCCTGGGTATTAATTTAAATATATATCCTTAATTCAAATGTCAGTTAAAGCCATCGCATCGCCATATCTCCTAGTACATCTGGCTTGTCAGGCCAACTCTTCGCTTGTCCTTTAATGGCACTGGCACCTGTCGGGCTCTGCTCTTTTTTGCGGCGCGGGAATTCATTAGGTTTATTGATCCGCAAATCGTCATAGTCATTATGCTTCAGATTTAATCCGCTTACTTCCGAGCCGAGCATCGTCGAACTGAGCATTTTTCCCTATTAAAGTCTCAGCCTAATTGAGTAATTTCCAACTGAAGGCGGAAGTGTGTGTTGCGTTGACTTTCCGTTCCCCATCCGAGGAAATATTTAGTTAGCCTAATTATGCGATATACCAGTTTTGATTACCACCCCGTCCCTGCAGCGCAAATAAAGCTGAAATTGGCCTGGCCTACATAATTGCGCCGAATAATGTTTTCGATAAAAATCATTTTTGGGGAAGTATTTCGGTCGAATATGGATTCTATCTGTGTGGCATCAGTGATGGTTATAACTTCCCCAATTCTTATCCGATTATTAAGCGGGATACCTTAAACGATTTCTGAATCGATTCGCCAACATTCTGCATCAAAATCCTGAGACAAAATATTTTTTAAATTTTTTGTCCATTTTTCCTGATGGGATCCCTTGAAAATGGGGGTTTCCCCTATAGGGTCCACTGTGATGGCCATATCTTTTCCAATTCTCATCCGATTCTCAAGCGGAGTACCTTAAACGATTTCTGGATCGATTCGCCACCATTATACATCAAAATCCTGAGACAAAATATTTTTTAGATTTTTGGTCCATTTTTCCTGATGGGATCCCTTGAAAATGGGGTTTTCCCCTATAGGGTCACTGTGATGGCCATATCTTTTACAATTCTCATCCGATTCTCAAGCGGAGTACCTTAAACGATTTCTGGATCGATTCGCCACCATTATACATCAAATTCCTGAGACAAAATATTTTTTAAATTTTTTTTCCATTTTTCCTGATGGGATCCCTTGAAAATGGGGTTATTTCCTATAGGGTCCACTGTGATGGCCATATCTTTTCCAATTGTCATCCGATTCTCAAGCGGAGTACCTTTAACGATTTCTGGATCGATTCTCCACCATTCTGCATTAAAATCCTGAGTCAAAATATTTTTTAAATTTTGTGTCCATTTTTCGTGATGGGATCCCTTGAAAATGGGGTTATTTCCTATAGGGTCCACTGTGATGAGCATATCTTTTCCAATTCTCATCCGATTCTCAAGCGGAGTGCCTTAAAAAATTTCTGGATAGATTTCTCACAATACTGAATTAAAATCCTGAGACAAATATTTTTGCAATTTTTTTAACAACAAAATATGCTACGACCAGCATGGTTGTCTATAGATGCCTGGAGTAAGATATTTCAAGACATATTAAATTCTTAAAATATACTTTATGGTTCCCTGTTTTCCTTGGATCCTCCAATCCTTCCTGCCCCTCCGTTATTAAACACGTTTATCCTAAGTTTTCCTCCGCAGCAGTTTTTCACACTGCTCTTGGTCATATTTTTGCGCCATGTTTTGTTGGATTGCGCAAAAATTTCAAATTAAGTTGCAGCCCAGCGAGTGAAAGAGACGGGAGGCGGCCATAGCGACAGAGAGAGAAAGTCTCCATAGCCGAGAAGAAAACCCGAGCTGTAAGTGAGCAACAGAATTGCATCACGTACATGGGCAATTTGCCAGTGGAAATACAATACAAACAACACACACAGCTGCCCGGAAAAAGGATGGCCATTTCGCTCCCCCTTTCTTTTTTCCCCCTGTCCCTGTCTCTTTCTTACGCCTGACTGGTGTCTCACTCTCGCCGCCCTCTGCCCGACGGCTTTTTTGGCACAGGTTTTCTGCTCGAGAATTTGTAAATCGCAGCGAGAAACAATGCCAGGCATAAACTAAATAAATGTGAAATATTTTATACATGTACCAGAAAGAGACAGGCCAAGAGAAAGTGGGAGAAAGAGAAGGAGAAGACGGGCGCCAAATGACGGAAAGAGACGGGCTGCGCCACAGACAGAGACACCCCACCGAAACAGATTACTTTTCGTCGCTTAGTCCGTTTGGTGCAATTAATCTTGGCGCTTTTATGCTGGTTCCAGTTCTGCACTAGTGATGCCAACTGGAGGTACGAAATAAGCAAAAGTATTATTAACAAATAAATTCTTAAAATAGATACCACAATCCTTAAAAGTATCGGGTATCTTATAGTTGAAAAATAAAAATATTCAGACTTATTCTTAAATCCTTCACAGTTTATTGACCAAAAACCAGCTGTTATGGCTGCAACTTTGGCCTTTTTTCGTGTCCCAGTCAACATTTTTTGTGCATGCTTTTTGTTACCCACTTTCACTTACCCACAACAATCATGTCCTCGTGACCGGAAACTGTCTGGAACGAAGGCGCCTCGCCGGACACTTCGCAGCGATATCGGCCAGTGGACTGAAGGCTCACAGAGCGCAGGACAACGGCGTATTCCGTTGAGTTTTGTAGCTGGAAAGAAATCGAAACAAAAAACGAATAATGGAGGTCACTAAGTCAAAGCTTGATTTATTTTAAAGTCTAAAGATATTCTGGATATACAACAGATTTAAGGAATATAATTTTTCTAAAACTTTTCCCTAGATAGATCCTTTACTTGGAATTTTTAAAGCGATCCAGCCAGTTCCTGAGGATGTGGGGCATGTTTGAGACCTCTTCCACATCATCTTGTTCGTCATCGTCATCATCTCCACCACCGTCCTCATCATCGTCATCCTCATCGAAGTCGTCATCCTCCTCTTCATCGTCCTCGTCCTCATCATCGACCAACAATTCCAACATCTCATCGAGGTCCTTGTTCTTGACGGGCATTACTTCGTCGAGGCTCTCGGCAGTGGGCGAGACCTGGAAGCTCTTCATGGTATCCCTAAACTTCATTGCATCCTCCAGATGCAGGACACTTAGGTTCACATCCTTGATACTGCCCTGAAGCCGGCTTTGCTCGAAGAGATCCGTTTGGGGCTGACGAATATGCTCGGCGATCACTCGGACAGTGTCCTCCTGGTCGATCGGCAGCACTGACTCCTCCAGTGACTGCAATTACTTAGACTTCCGGCTGCTCATCGTCCCTCAGGCCCAAAATCACGAAACTAATTAACTTCCTAGACCCACATATGATGTGTTTTTGAAGGAAGACTTGATGGGAAAATAGTAAAAGTAGTATCTCTTACCTCAACGTCGACTCCTGGGAGTGGGAAGACCTGCCCCGGCGGCATGTCTCTCGGAACGTAGCGGTAGAACTCGAATCCGTCCTTGTACCACTTCACCGAGTAGAGGGACTCCCCGTCGAGATCAAACTTACAGCCGAGCACCGCGTCCTCGTGCCGCATTATATGCTTGGGGATTTTGATTTCGGTCATTGTCAGGCATTCGGCGGTTTCTGCAAATACGTGGATGTGTTGTTAGAGATTTTGTCAGCCAGGGACCGAGTGAGACTGAGTGGCGCTTTAATAAGCCCTTAGCTGCTAGCTGTTAGAGCCGTGTTCGTCGTGTTCGCGGTTTCAATGCCAGTGGCAGGACATAAATAACTTGCAGCAAGTGCATAAAAGTCAAGGAAATCGAAGGAGGCAGGTTCCTCCTGCCCCCACTCCCCCGTTCTTGGGACTAGAACAATGCGCTTTTGTTTTGGCAACACAATGGCCGGGAAGGGGTGGCCCTCGCGGGGAGGTGAACGCGACTAACTTGAGGAACGTGGCCTGGTTGGAGAATTTTCTTAGGAAAAGATGCTCCCCGGGTGCTGGATGGGGAATATAACTCACAGTACACAATGCCGTAGTGAAATGAAAAGTTGGCAACTTATTTAACGGCCCAAGACAAAGACGAAAACTGTGTAGGCCCTGGTAACTGGAAGGGCAATTTGGGTCAGGCAAATCGAGATATGAAATTAATATTACAAGGCCCGAAATGAGCAGCTCTTGGCCAAAACTGGGCCAATCCGTGAGCGAGTTAGAAGTCATTTGGGAAATTTCAATTGCCAGTTATGACTCGTTTTTGTGGCAAGAAGGGCTTTAATTTCCAAGAATCCTAGGCTCTCTCTTAAAGGCCGTGTCACTCAAACAAACCTATAATGGACACTAACTAAGTCCCTATGTTGACTTTTGAGGCTTAGTCTTGCGTCATAAAAGTCCAAATTAATGGTTAGTCTAGTATTTGAGCCCTTTATTATTCAAGCCGAGTCCAGACATTTCGTAATTTCCTGATTAGTTAACACAATTATGGTGCATTAGAGTGACAAACGAATGTCATGTCAGAAATAGAAGCAAAGCCACATGAAATTGAAATCAATCCCCCACTTTTCCATCCCAAAGTCCATCTCATTAAGTCCTTCAGACCTTCGGCGCGTTTATTTTTGGACAGGTTCATGGCAAGTTAAAGAAAACCTTTTAAAAATACACCTAAAGTGGTGTGTGGGCTATGGAAATAGGAAATGAAAAATGAGGATGACTATTAATAGGTCCGAAATACAGGCACTTTATAATAATACTATAAGGAGGCCCTTTATTTTGGAGCTATATTTGGTTTTGCATATTTTTGACAAAGTTTTTGAGGGGGCTATTTGGAGGAAGTTGTAGGTTTGGCATAGTAATAAAGAGAGTTTCTCACAGAGTGGGCTTAGCTCTCATAATACAGCTTTTATTTATTTTAGAATTAAGTATAATATTTCCTAAATGGCATGAGTTCACAATTTCTGGAAGTACAGACTTAGACTGGCCATCTAAGATACTTCACTGACTGCTGGGTAGCTACAACTTCGACTATGTATTTAAGCTTTTTCCTTACTTTTCTGTTCAACCCGCCAGCCACCGAAGCGACAAACAAACCAACCAACAAACAAATTGAAAGCACAATGCACAAAGGCAGCAAAAAGAAGCACCGCCGCCATTGAAGTCGATGACGAGGCTGATGACGGTGTCCTAGATGGCGGAGCGGGGCCCAGCGGAAATGGGAGTGGAACCAGGTGGGCGGTAGTGGGCGTTGCTTGGCCCTCCCTGGGCTTTGCTCCTTTTGAGTGCATTTCCGCTTTGCGGCAGCCGAGGCGGCGTCGTTTGAGTCCTTTTTATTCCGGCCGGTGCGTGGCTCCGCTTTGGCGGACACTTTGTGGAATGTATTTTGTTTGTTTGTGTTGTGTAGGAGTGTGTGGCTTAAGTATAATTTAGCATTTTCCACTCTCCAGCGCCGGGCTCGTTGGCGGAAGACAAACACAAAGTGCGTTGCCAAAAGGCTTCCGCCAAACAAAAGTCTTCAGTCCCCAGTTCCCGTGAAGACTCCTTTTTAAGGATATTTTTCTAAGCGGAGTAAGAAAAGAGAATTTTTAAGTAACACCTCAGGGCCACAATCAGAAGGAGCTGGGACAGCTTTAATATATTCATTTAAAACTATGTCTGATTAAATTTCAATTTCTTTCCTCAATGCGTTGAAAAGAGGTCCTTTTCAGAGAAATGTCGAGTACCTCACCCTCCGGGCCGCTAATTAATAAGCCAGAAATTGCAAAGTTTTGTCATCTAAACCTGAGCTTAATTAAGAAGAGCCAATGCCAGAAAGTGCCAAAATAGAAAGTTTTCCATTTGATGTCGTGTAACCGTCATAGTTATGGTCGAGAGTGGATTCCTCGAGTGACTTTGGTTTTGCGGAGAGCCCTACCTTAAAACAAATTGCTGACTGGCTGCCACGGACCAAAGTTTGCTACTTAATTATTGTTGATTTTTAAATGATTTCATTTGCCGCCCGAGGGCAACAAATGTCAGTCGCAGACAAAAGTTTGCCGCCTTCATCGTTCGCACTCTCCCCCCGTTTCTCGGAAAAATGAGTTTCTTTTTGGGGTTAGTTGGGCTAGAAATCTAATTCAATGGCTAAGAGAAGAGCGGGAGGAGCCGAGCCCGGTCCTGGTGTCAAATGCAGAAGTTTGCCGAGCAAAGTTTAGCTTTGCATATCATTATGGCTTTTTAATGGGGTGAGCAATGGTGTTCCAGCCATCTTAATAAACCGTCAAGGGGTTCGCCTCTTCCATAAACAACTAATGAACATTTTCAAAGTTTATGCTTATTTTCAGACCATTTCCAGTCGGATAAAATATTTAAATATATCGTAGGGTAAGCCCTTTACTTCAATCAATTAGAGATGTATGCCTTTTTCGAAAAGAAATAATCGGAAAAATCATATTTGTCCGGAAAACCCATTTGGAAACAGCCTGACAAAGGCAGTAGCTTACCCAACTGGATTAGTTACACAATGCAAACAGTATTTCTCAATCTCAGAGCTCCTTTTCCCCCCGACATCCTGCCATCCTGGCTAACGGGCCCAGAGCCCGAGAATCCTTGACAGAGCAATTGCAATTTCGAATCCAAATCTGACTGTCACATGAGCTCAGCCCAGCTCAGCCCGCAGGACTCTCCGCCTGGCTCCCCCACGATCAATATAGCTCGACAGGCAAATGCAAAATGCAATTAATTTTATTAGAGTCCATTGAAAACTCATTGGAAAAACGGGCTACAAAAGCGGCTGACGGGCTGACTGGCTCACTTGCCAGGGGTTGTGTAGGAGCGGGGTGGCCAAGAATTTATGGCTTTTGCCAAGGCTTCACTGCAATGCAAATTTTTGCCAGACAGACCACGCCAGGAGGGGGCAGGGTGTACAAGGAAATTATGATGCGGCTCAGTTGGAGAGCTTACTCATGGGCTCTTAGGGGAAGCACAGAAAAAAAATGGGGAAAGCGAGTGGAGGAAGGACTTTAGACCGGATGCCAAGCCTTGAGCAAATAAGAAGGTTTTTCTTCTCTGCTGGATGTTTCGCAGACGCCAGCAGCATCAATACGCATCAATCCCAGTGACCCCTTGGCCCCGCCTGCCATGCCAACCCCGTCCACGCCCCAGGCAGACGCCTAGAACGTGCTTAATCTGCAATCAGAGGCGGAAGTTGCTCCCCCAGAAGCCTAGTCGCCTCCATTGTGTCTGACAGTCTAGGGGTCCTTCGGTCCATTTGGGAGTGCCTGTCCTCGTTGCAGTCTCGGGGAAAAGTAACAAGAATTTAACAATCCATCTATGGATGATATTTTAATAAAATATATCCATGTCTTTTAAGATTCTGCAATTAGCAGTGCCCCTCAAATTCAAGTGTCAGTGTCCTGTTAGAGTATCTCCTCTGACAGGGAGTGCATCACGAGTTGTCCTGTTCGTTGTCATTGCAGCCGCAAAACGGGAGCACGTCTGCCCAGAAAGTCCTGCCACTCCGCCCGTTTGGCCCACAAAACAGCCAACAGCTCCCAGTTGTCAGCTCAGCTCAGTTCAGTTCTGTTTTTGCTGCATTGCAGGCGCACTTTCATTTGCATATTTCGCAAAGAGGAAAAAACTGAACTGAAGAAACAAAAAATATGCCATAAAGTAGGAGGAAAGATGAGAGTCTGGTTGGGTCTGAAAAAAGGGCGACTTGGCAATAATCGATCGGGCCCATTGAGACAGTTTCTTGTGAGCTGGTTAATCGCAGTTGCCACAAAATCGCAAAGTTCTACATATTTTTGATATTGCCCGGAACTTTGTGGCAATATTTATGTGACAATCGGCCTTTGAACTTTTCAAGATGATTGATTATCTGAATGTGATCCATGGGAGCATGTTATGACATTTGGAATTCTCCCAGAGACTTGTATTATTCTCTGTAATTATCGCTGGGAGTGACAAATGGGGGAAATTTAATCAGGCCATCAGTCAAATTCAACTAATTTCGCCTCAAAAGTATTTTCTTTAATTAGAATATCAATTAAATTGCTACACACAGAGGAGCAGCTGTAATAACATAATTAAAATTCACTTCGCCTGTCAATTGGGGTGACGTCAAAGACATGACTTGATAACAAGATTTCCCCCCTTAAGCCCAACCCAACACCCAGATGGAATCAATTAATTCGATTAAAACTAAAACGTCAATTTTAACGCATTATTATTAATGGAATTTCCGATAGAGAATATGGAATATTTTGAATGAATTATTAATTCATAAGTAAAGACGGTCTGTCCTGAAATCCTTATTCATCTCTCCAGTTGATGAGTGAAGGCCTCTTAGACTTGTTTACATAAGCCCTCTCGGAATCCCGCAATCTGTTCGCACCTACCAACTTGCGGGCCAACTCAATGGGCCCTTAACCCAGCCTAATCGCCAGCAAAGGCACTTAATATTACTTATTGGTATTTATGATGCCCTAAAAGCCGGCGAAAATCTTTAATAAACTCCACTCGATGAAGCTTCAAGTGTTTGCCTTCGCAGGGAACTTTCATTAACTGCACAGAGGTGGCGATCCGAAAGGGGGGCGTCGAACGAAGTGCGTGTCGCTCAACATTAGTTTCATGTGCTGCCAATAAATGTGTACTTCCCCTGGACATCGGTGCTGGCTCTTTGTTAGTTACAATTTGGCCAAAAGTGTGCGCCACGTTAACTTAATTTCATTATTTGTTGCTCTACGAATGTGAAAGGGACTGTGTTCTGCGACTGTATGTGCGACTGTGTGTGGGGCATGTGTACGTGACCTCATAATAGGAAAATAAGATTTCTATCTATAATTCAGGCAGCGAACCCCAAACTAGAGTCCAAGACGGCTAAGTGCCAGCAAATAATAATCATTTTTCTGTTCCCTCGTTTGTCTAGACTCCAGACCCCAGACAGAAATTGTATTTGTCAGTCATTATTATTATTCCGCCGTCTCCTTCGCAATTGAGCGTGGAAATATAACGAGGTTTGGTAGGTACCACTGCTAGTTAAATAGTAAACACAGATCTGCCACAGAAACTTTTTGCTTTGACAACTCTGCCGCAAAAGGAAGCGGGGCCAGAAGCGGAAACGGAAATGGCAAAAAACTTGAGCATGTTTATTTATTTAATTAAATGCGGCAAGCGGCATCAGGCAAGTTTCGCACTGTTTCCTATTTTATTTCTCCGCCAGGCAATCAGACTAATTAAGTTGAAGGTTTCTGTGGTCGGCCCGAACAAAAAATTAATATTAATAAAATATATTAATTACGGTTTCCGCTAATGAAAGATGTGCAATTAATTGAATTCTGTTTACGCCTCACTTCTCACTCGACATTAAAGGCTCAAATTAATGGCAATTAATTCTATCTCCAATAACAATTATAAATAGTGTTAGGAGGCAGGCCAAGTTTTTATTTGGGATCAAGTTTGGCGTTTATAATAGGTCGGAATTAAAGCAACTCAACCGGAATAAATACTAAAGCAAATGGAACGGAAGTATGAAATTGAAATACTATTTGTGACTAATTTTCGATTAATTGTGTTTGTTTGCTTGGGGTTGCCTTTGGAGTCTTTTGCAAGACACCATCTAAATCCTCGCCCTCCCCTTCTGCTTCAAAGTTATCCTTGAAAGGCTCTATCTCCCTATCGCGGTTAGCCGCGACTTTCGCTTGTTTGCCAGTTAATTTTGTTTAGTTTCTGCTCAGCAGTTTGTTGAACTTAATTAAAAATAAATAACAAGAGGCAGCCGAGGCTGAGGCAGTGGCAAACTTGTTTATTAATGCCTTAGCGAGAGGTCCTTACAGCCCAAAACGCCCAAGACTTATCCCCCTGAACTGACAGCCCCGACTTTGGCTCCTGACTTTATCAACTCTGTGGGCCAAGCCCCCGTCTATCGATTATTGAATGAATTTTCAATGAGTTATCTCCGAGCGGGACCACATGGCGTATGAATTATATTCGGAGGCAGCGAAAGTTGTGTATATTTTCGGGTTAATGAAAAGTTTTGACTTTTATCTTACCGAGGAGCAGCAGACATGCCACTATGCCATAGGCGAGCGAATATCTTCTGTGTCCCGAATCCATACTGGGACACTTGATTTATGTCTAGAGTTTTTCCACCAAAAGTTTCCTTGCTGCGAAACTTTAATTTTTCAATTTGTTGCTCAAATTTTGGTTATTTTTCTTGTCCATGTTTGCCTTTGCTTCGTTTGCGTTTTCTCCTTGTCTCATTTGTGCAATGCAATAAATTTTCCTTGACCGCCAACGAGGGAAAGCGTCAACCAATTGCTTTCCTTGTCGCTTATTCCAGCTAGCTATTGTTGTTGGCGTTGGCTTATTTATATTTATTTTCCATGAGCTCGTTGCTATTTGCTTTTCCTATTAAGCAGACACATCCACAGGACAATACGTGTGTAGGCAGTCGCATTTACATGCTATATCCTGCCTGTACTTTGTCTATTTGTGTTTGCCTCCCAATTTCTTTTCTTCCAGTCGAGTTTGGCTTCCGGTTTCTACTTTTTCTCTATCTTACGCACCAAACTTAATTGAAACAAGACTCTGAAAAGACAAGAAAACAGGAAAGGTTTAGCTTTAAAGTGTTTTGTTTTGGGATTAATCCCGAACCGTAAGCAATGGTCTCTGATGTTGATTCACGTAATAATTTGATTACGTATTCGGGGACAACACATCAATCATTGGGCTTCTATTTTTGATACGACTTTGGGTGGGTATTATTTATGGCTGTCAGGATCTATTTTAATCCCTACTAGGTCGGGTGTGTCCGGTTATTTACAGTTCGTATTATTTATTAGCCCCGACAATATCTGTTTTAATATTTCAGGACATTTTTAAAGATACCTGAGTAGTTTCTAGTGTGAATTATTGAAGTATGAACTGGAATCTTGGCTAGATTTCCTTAGGGCTTCTATTTGGGAATTGCTTGACAGTCTTTGGACATACACACTCAGTAGAAACAATAAGCCAACTGAATTAATCATACAATTTATGGCCAATAACTGTTAATGTGATTTAAATGCTCTTCCAACCGAAAGGCCCCGGGCAGAGCCCGAGCCCAAGCTCCGGGACAGACAACTCAAAAATCATTGAGCAAAGGCATAAATTAACAATAACATCGTTGCGATTGTGTAATTGTTCTAGGGTAGGCTGAATTAAATTTGCATAAAATCAATTAAAACCGAAAACTGCCGCAAAAGCCGCAGCAGCAAGCAGTAAAGCACTTGGGGCTAGAAATCTGTGAAAGGCTTTTGGGCAAAAGTTTTCCAAAATCATGTCCTGTAATTAGAGGCCATGAATAATTTTAGCACCTTGTTGTCATCTATTTTCAGAGACACGCACACTTATACAGAAATCCATAGGCCAGACACACACACAAACACACTCATAGTCACATGTCGAACAACGGTGAGTGGCTTATGTAAAATAGTTGCGACGGACCCTGAGCACACACGCTGCGTATACTTGATGTTGGCTCCAGAACCGAGTCTTTTGCATAATTAATTATGTGGCAAGCACGGCACTGGCTTGTTAAATATGCAAATATTCGGAAAACAAGGTCTAAGCTGCGACTTGGACCGTTCCAGGTCAGTCACATCTTTTTCCCTCGACTTTTCTTTTTAAATTCTTCACTAAATCTGCATTTTTACCTAAAAGGTCATGTTCTCAGAGATACTAAACCTTGGGGCCTATAGCAGTCTCTACATGAATTGACTGAATGACTGACTGACTGGCTGGCTGAATGAATGACTGGCATTGCCCTCTACACTTTTGTGGGGCAAGTGTGTGTACTGTGCCATTGTATGCTCGAATCCCTGAATAGCCCTTGATGTTAGTGCTTGAACTTAAAGCCCAGCTACTAGCTACCTTAGACATCGAATATTCAATTTCTATGAATGCAAATTGAATAGCAATATCGTTTACTGTCCACAAATCACTGCAATTTCATTGACAAACAATTATTATTGTCCATAATCAAATAAATTGTTCAAAGCTAGCAGCTGAATGAACACAATACTTGCCAAAAAATATGACTCATAAATAAAAACGGGCAGGCAGACAGCGGCCGTTTTAATGTCCTGACCAATGGAATAAATTTCAAAATTGAAGCCCCGGAAATTCTAAAATATGTTGCTCAATAATGGGACCGAAAATGTCTCTGTTTTTATCGCGATGTTTGAGTTTTAAGTGTCGATTGATAAGGCCATAAAGGCCAGTCAGCCATGTAACTGACCTCTGCGCCAGTTTAGAAGTTTAACGATCTGCTGGTGGGCTATAGCCTATATATAGCCTGTCTCTGTAGCCTCTGGCAGCCCCTGAACTAAATGAGACTAATGAAAGGCCATAATTCAAAGCCATTCCAGGCAGTGTCCCAGCTCAGCGACTCAAATTAATTGACATTGTACGGGAATTTCATATACATATATGTGTGTTCTGGGGAAAATAAAGGTGTCTATACTTACAGCTATGGCTAATATTTTAGGCTCTATATGAAAGACTTTGTCTTTATACTTATAGCTATAAAGTACTTAAACAAAACTGATTTAGGAATATTAGCTTTTAAGCCCCATTTCTGTGGTAGGTGCTAGATAGAGTATCTTTAAGGCTATCCTATAGCTGTGTCCTTGGCTGTTTGGTTGTTTATTGTAAATGGCTGTGCGCCCGTATCCGGGGCTATAGAATTTCATAATTATAATAATTTATGTTGACACCTGAGGCGTGTGCACAAATTGAACTGGCCCCGAGGTCCGCGCCAAGTTAATAAAACTTTAAGTTACAATTTGTGAGCTGGTGTGTGTGGGCAGGACACAACCCCACCTCAAGCTTCGCTCCCACAACCATTTCCCGAATGCTAGAAAATCCCCGGAGAAATATGAGGAAAATTGTATGTAGCATAATACTCACTTATTGCTGCTATTTCTGCTCCTGACGATTCCTTGCTCTTCGCTGCTCTATTTTTTGGGTGGAACTTTAAAGAAGAGAAGGCTCCTTGCCAGCCGGCAGGACGGTTATTTTTTTGGGAGGTAGTGCGGCCCGTTTTAGCCCAGTTAGCTTCTTGCCTGGTGGCTCTGTGGACTGCCTTCTCACTTGCTCTCACACTATGTTTTCGGTGTTTTAGCTCGCTGGCTGGCCCACGTGCATAATAATAACAAATGATTGGTTGTCACGCACGTAACGGTACTTTCATTCATAATTTATGCATTTTAATTTGTCAAACCCACTACGAGTGGGAGGGAGGGAGTGCGAAAAAGAGCCACTGATGAAAATGAATTGGATGAAAATTCAAAACTTCTACCAAGATGAGTTTTCTTTCCTTTTTTTTTTATTCAAAAGTGCGAATAGTTTTAGCTTGTAGCTCTACAAAATTATTCACGGTTTTTCACACAAACACACGTACGCAGAAACACATACGCACACACCCACCGCACACTGTCACCGACACACGCACGATTGTCCTCGGTATAATCGCGTTTCTAGTCCTCGTCGGCACTGGGCCAAGTTGTACGGCGGAGTGCAGAATCGAGAATTGAGAATCGAGAATGGAGTCGTCGAGCTGGGCTCACGGAGTTTTGTCGCTTTCGCCAACCACACAGGACCAATAACCGACCAAGACTAAAAGCTTTGCTCTCCTTATTACCTGGTTTTTACTTGGCGCCCCGCACACACACGCCCGTGCTGGCACGCACCACCTCCCCCAGGCTGCGGCGTCCACACGAAGGACCTCGCACGAAGGCCGCCCGACGACCGGATATTAGGAAACCGAAGCGAAACGCACAAACTGGTTCGCATTGTCTGAGGTTGGGAGAGTACACAAGAGCGCTCTCTGGGAGAAAAAGCGTGGGAGAGCAGTCCTTCGGGTGAAAAGTTTACCTCGGCTTTTGTTTGTTTCAATTCCATGTTCCTTCCATAACTGTTAGCCATTTTAACGGGTCATGTCTGTAAAAGTTCTGGCAGGACCCTGTTATCCTGAAAATAAAGGGAAATCTTTAGTTAACAGAATCTTAATGATAATGTTAAAGATATTACTATATTTTGAGTCCTACCAGAAGGTAAGGGTTTTGTAAGAGACTTGATAAAAGATAGCCAATTGCTTCTTCATAGACATAAAGACATAAACTAAAGAACATTATAAAATATTACGTATACGACATGAGGTCGTAATTTGAACCAATTTTATGAAGCCACATGTCTTCTTTTGAAGAAAAAATCATAAAAAACAAGCATCAAAAGAAAAACTGCTAATTACGAAAAATTACTTATATCAATTGTTTACCTGCCTATTTATAGAAATTAGGCAAACTTCTAAGGCTTTTATTGTTGGCAATGGCCCCCCTCGTAATAACCCGGACATGTTGTTCGTCAAATGCCTAGTTAAGTCCTCACGGAGCCTGCATCAACAGCATTTCCATTGATAGGGACGACGCAACTTTGGCAAACAAGGAAAACAATAGAAACAAGCGGAAGAACAAGGAGGACTCCTTGGAGCAGCTAGCAGCAAGCGGCAGAACATCGGAGCACACAGAGATTCTGGCCCAGTGAGGCATCAATGGAAAATACCAATAACATCGACATCATCCTCCGCATCATTAGCCCAAACAAAAACTGCTGACTGGGGCACAATGCCAGCAAGCAAATCGGGTGAAGAGAGTTCTTACCCCGTCGATCTGCCGCAATTCCCTCTTTCCTCTGGGCTTTCTGTTCTATCGTAACCCTAGCTCGAGGGGTTCTAAGTTTTTTTTTTATTTTTGCCTTCGTGCTGCACATGCCCCGCTGGCAATTTGAAGTTGAGCCAACGGCAAGTAGGTTTTTCTTTTCTAACCCAGCCCAGTGTAGTACAGAGAGCAAAATAAAGGATACTCAAGACCAAAAGATATACATGAACTGCCAAAAATAAAAATTTTTTTAATGGATTGAGATGATTGAGATTTTTAAGAAACATTAATACGATCTAATTATTTACAGTGCACTTTCTGGCTTCGGCTCATTGACAGTCATAACGCTGAAATGCGCCTCAACTTGAACTAATTTGTGCGCAATTTGCGCGAAGAAAGGCGTCGGAAACAGCAAAGGCAAAGCTATACACTGGAACACACAGATACAGCCAATGAATGGCGAAAGAGATGGCCAAATTGCGAAGGAAAGAGACAACACCATTGTGGAGTTGGGAAAGAATGGCGAGCATTTGCACTTTTACTTAAGCGTAAAACTTTTCTTTGCAGGTTGCAGCCAACTAATTTTGTTTCCTTAGCCGCAAATTGAGAAAAAAAAGTGATACGGAGAAGAGAAGGGAGACAGGACTTTGAGACAGTGAGACATGGAGAAATTGAGACATTGAGGAATAAGAAGAGATTGAAATAATCTTACTGATTGCGTCAACTTTTTGTTTTTATAAAACTTGCTTTGTTTCAAAGTATATTTTCAATAAAGGCTACAATCTCCAGGGTAGATATTTTTTAAAGAATTTGTTTAGTTTAAAATTAAATTATTTCAAGCAGAATATATTACATTAAGCGCCATAAATATTTTTAGGTCATATCTTTTTCTAGGGTATCTTTGGCTTCCATATAAATTTATTTACACCCCTTTGTCGCTTAAACTCGTTGTTTGCTTCTGTTTTCCTCAGAAAATTGCATAAATTTGATTATTTGAAATTTTGTTGTAGGTGAGAAAGTTATGTCGCCTCCCCCACCCATGTCTTTGGCAAGTTGGCTCCTTTGTGAGGCAAATCCTGTCCCTAATTGCCCGCCTTCTCGATGGACTGATTGAATCTCTTACGCTCCACAGGCGGCTTTATTATTTAACGTTTCAATTACAAGCCGACAGAGAGAGACACAGAAGTAGTCCAATTCAGAATCAGAAGCTGGCATGTGAGTGCGGAGATAGAGGGTCCTTTTGCCCGAGTCCTTGAGTCCCGGGGCAAGGACTATTTAGCATGTAAATGCGAGTCAGTGCCAAATAGTTGAGTCGCAGAGTCAGAGCCTCGGTTTTAGTCAGAGACAGTATCTATTTTGCATACAAATGGATTTTCTTTATGTTTATGGTGCGAGTGCGAGCTAGACTGGAAAATAATTTCGCAAATGTTTCATTTGATTACAAAATGAATCTTTTCTTGGATCTTTCAATCTCTAATTGTCCTTTGTGTTGAATCTAAATTAAAGTTTTTGGTTTATACATTTTTTGGCACTTATTTTTCCACGGTATACTATTTCCGCTCATGAAAAATATAAATGGTATTCAACAGTTTTTGTGGCGTAGTTTGAGTAATTAAGGACCTGCCGAAAGAAAATTTCACTTTTCACGAAATATTTGCCGCAGGAAAAACACAATTTAGACTGAAGAAAGCACCCATTGAGCGACTTCACTTCAGGCTCATTGTCGAGGATTTTTAGTGTTGAAAACAATTGAAAGTGTTGTGGCAGCAGCACACACAGTGTGTGCTATGGCGATAAGGGTGGGCCGAGAGAGAGGTCCTGGGTAGCAAACACGACATGCAAACTCATAAATGCGGCCGCATGAAATTGCAGACAGAAAAACACACGCACACCCGCAAACCAGCTCAACCATCCACCCCACACACACACACGAATACAATGCATTTACAACTACAAGCAAAAGAAACAGGATCACAAGTAGTAACTATAACAAAGAACTCGGTCATTTGGGGCACAAAACGCAGCCAAAAGCACGCCCCATGCTGCTAAATGCCATAGAAGGAAAAAAAGTAGCCAGACGAAATAATAAAACTGGAAAAAATGGAGTGCAACGAGAAATCACGCACACAATAAACACACACTCCCTCACACACGCTCTTAGGTGGATGTGTGCGAAATGTTTGCAGTTCAGGCCTCAGAAATGTCAGAAGTGTTTAAGCTTTAAACGCCTTCCATGTTAATTAAAATAGTTGTTATACTTGAAAAGGGTATAATATTAACAAAAAATACATTCAATAAATATTTTAAAATATATGCATTGCTTTTGTTAGTTTTATGAGGTGGTTGAATAAATATTTACTAATAAATCTACGAAAGCATGCAAAATTGCATTGGATCTCCTGCGTAGTTTTAAAAAGTTTAATTTAATATTTTTTAATTGGATCTATCCGATCCTAGAGCGGAATACCTTATACAATTTTTGTAACAATTCTGTAAAAGTCTGCTACAAATCCCCAAAGTAAAATATTTTTTCAATTTGTTTGTCAATTATTCTGTAGGTACCCATCTGAAAATATAGTAGTGTATAGAAAACCCTGTATGGCCCACAGCGATGCCATATCTTTGGTAATTAACGTCCGATCTTAGAGCGGATCGATTATCCATTAATTTGCACTAAAATCTAAGAATTTAATAATTTATCTTTATTTGTACATTTTTTTTATGGGACCTCTTTGAAGGGAGAAACGTGCGAAAGGGTCCGTTTGACCTCCAACAAAGCTTACATCTTTTCTTATATTAATCCGATTGAACAAGGTTAAGGTACCTCGTAGTTCGTAAAAATTGAAGTTTGACTCAGTAGCACTATGCGTTAAAATACTGATTTTATATTTTTATAATACTGATACTGAATAAACAAGACATTTTGTAAATTTATAAAAAATAATGGCAGCTTAATAACTTGGTTCCCTGGAGAGAGCTTGGCGAAGAAATATATTTATTTCAATAAATTCTTACTCCAACCATAAACTGATTAATGTGGAGGGTGATGGCCGCACAATTGTGAGGTTCCGCCGTTCGCATGCTATTTATAAGCCTGCGGCTTTCGGCATTCCAATGCATTGGCTTCAATGAATAATTAAGCGGTTGCCGCTTCCAGGATTAAGAAGCAGCTCAAGCCAACCGCAACCACTCACTCGCACTTGTGGGACTCCTTTGCCACGCCTCCTTGGCGCACACACACGCTTGCACACAGACGTGTCAAGCTAAGAAGTGGCAGGGATATGTATGGGCGGGACATTTTTCACATGTCAGGACATAGCGCATACGCCTCGTTAGCCACGGAACCCAAAACCTGAAAGCGAGAAACGCCATCTAATTTATAGAACGTGGCGGTTATTTCTTTTAAG